GCTGCGCGTATGCTGCCACTGCGCGGGAGCGCGAGGGGCTGCTCCGGCTCCCTGATCCCGCGTTAGCGCTGGGAGCCTCCGGTGGGCTTTGGGCAGGGAGTGTCCCCGTGGCACAGGATGGGGTCTGTGTGCAGTGACCGTCCTTAGCTGCAGCTCCAGACCTGGAGGGGCTCTTCAACCTCATGTAAGTACAGCCGCTCGCCCTTGCTGCCCTGCGACCCTCTAACCCAAGCGGCTCTTGGGTGGCTTCTCAGTCCAAGCCCAGCTCTGCCCCTGTTTCCCACATAACTGGTTAAGTCCTGGGGAGATGAGGACGGTCCTGGCTCTGTGGTGCCAGCCGGCCGGGTTCCCGTCCCCTCTGAGCTCCCGCTCCGGTGCAGCCAGCAGAAGATCGAGCTGCCGGTGACGGAGAACGTGCAGACCATCCCGCCGCCCTACGTGGTGCGAACCATCCTGGTGTTCAGCTGCCCTGCCTGCCCGCCCCAGTTCTCCGCCACCGAGCACATGAAGGTGGGTGCTGCGGTGCTGGGACGGGGATGAGCGCCCAGCGGGTCCTGCTCCGGTGACGCTCCCGGAGCCGGGCCGCGTCACAGCTCCGCTCACCCCTGCAGAAGATGCTCCAGTGCCCCTACTTCTTTTTCGACGTTGTTTACATCCATAATGGGGCTGAGGACAAGGAGGAGGAGACGAGCTGGAAGGTAAGCGCTGAGTGCCAGGTGCCTCCATGGCTGAGCCTGCCTCGATGTCACCCGTGTCCCCCCTGCTCCTCCCAGGAGATGTACGCCTTCTTCAGCAGCCTGGACACCAAGGGCACCAACTACAAGTACGAGGTGTCACTGACGGGGCCGGCTGTGGAGCTGCACAACTGCATGGCCAAGCTGCTGGCGCACCCGTTGCAGCGGCCGTTCCAGAGCCACGCGGCCTACAGCCTGCTCGAGGAGGACACGGTGGCCGAGAGCGAGGCCACCGTGTGAGCGCCACGGACGTGGGCACAGCGGCTCTTGGGGTGGCCATCCGGGGTGGCCTTCTGTGCCACTACCCACACAAAGTGCCTGGTGTGGAGGACACAGGGGCTGTCAGTAAAGGATGGAGGTGGCACCCGGGCTCTGGCTGGTCACTGTCATTGGGGCAGGGTGGGCTCAGGGGAAGAGGGAAGGGGGTTAGTGGGGTCAACTCGGGCGCTCTGCGATGGGTGCCCCATTATAGGGTGCTGGAAGTTGATGGGTGCCCCAGGACAGGGCACTGGGTGTCCCAGTCCAGAGCAGCAGGAGGGTCTGGGTGCCCCAGTCCAGGGTGCTGGGAGGCACTGCGTGCCCCAGCCTGGGCACTGGGTGGTCCAGTCCAAGGCGTTAGCAGGTGCTGGGTGCCCCAGCCCAGGGTGCTGGGAGGTGCCAGTGCGCAGGGCACTGGGTGCCCCAGTACAAGGCACAGGGAGGTGCTGGGTTCCCAAGTACGGGACACGAGGAGATGCTGATGCAGGGAACTTGGGTCCCTGTTCCAGGGCGCTTGGGGGTCCTGGTTGCCCGAGGCGCGGGATAAGC